GAAAGAAAAGAAAGAAAGAAAGAAAGAAAGAAAGAAAGAAAGAAAGAAAGAAAGAAAGAAAGAAAGAAAGAAAGAAAGAAAGAAAGAAAGAAAGAAAGAAAGAAAGAAAATTCATGTTTTATTTAAAAGAGAGGGAATTTTTTTAGCACTCCCTATATCTAAGAGACCAACTGACCAACACATTCCTTTAGGCTCAAACCTTTGTTCTGGGACGAAATAAGTATTTCTCGTTGTTTTTTTAGCCTACACTTTTCATTCACACCTCTACCATCAATAAAATCATTCAAACACACCATTAACTTTCATCATAGCTATTTTTCTATTACAATAATAACAGATAACTCGACCACAACTTATCTCCTAAAACTCTCTACAGGGCTCCCCCACATAATTATCATTTGTAAATGCAATCAACACAAAAATCTCAGCTAAAGCACCAAAAAGCTACAAATATGTTTCATAACATTCAACTTTGTTAGACAAGAAGAATCCAAAAATCATATTGTCCAAACTAAGACGGGTTAAACAAAGAATAATGAGGCATTTGATTAGCATAAGATTAAGGAAATAAAATTAAGAAAGGGATTAAGGAAATTATTATCATATTCATTATATAATGTATATAGAGAAAAGGGAAAAAATCCTCTTTTTCACACAATTATCTCCCACTCTACAACAACCACTACCAACAACATCATCTCACACATTTCAACATGAGAAGAAAGGTCAAAACCACATTCCCTAGGACAATTACATGGAGGTCTAGGTTCCATCACCATCTTCCAATTTTTTTCATTTCTCTTACAATGAAATTGGATTGATGAAAATGGAGGGATGGAGTATCTTTCATTTAGATAACAAATGAGGAAGGAAATTGAAGGGGAGAGAAATAGAGGGATCAAATTGTAAGAAATTAATTTCTCTAACAATAGAAATTTAGAAAGAAAACTCATCATTCTTCCTTCCCTTCCCCTCCCTCCCTTTCTTTTCCTTCCCTTTTCTTTTTCCAAACTCATTATTAGATGTAATTTTGTTTGGGAAGGTGATGGTGGACAACTTGTTTTCGGTGGTGGGTGGATGAATTTTAGGTTGGGGGTGAGTTGTTTTGATGGTGGTTAAAGTAAATTTGAGGGTAGTTGGTGTGGCTTTTTTTTTTTTTTTTTTTGGGGGGGGGGGGGGGTTGTTTTTTGATGGTGGGTGCATAGGTGGGTGGTTCTAGGGGGTTAAATGTGGTGATGCCTGATTGATGGTGGTGTGATATGGACATGTGGTAAAATGGAATGGTCAAAGTGATAGTTAATATTAGTTGGATGAAGAGAAATTTGGGGTTAAGATGATTCCCTAATGGGGGTGGGAAATATGGTAGACAAAAGTAGAATAAACCTGGGAATATAAGTAGTCATTAAAAAGTTCTAAAATACAACAAAAAAAAAAAGGAAATCAAGATGGTTGATGATTTTCCCCTTTCTTATAACCCCTAAAACTAAAAGTAAAATATCTTAAATTATGTCTTTAAAATGAAAACCATAAATAAAACCATAAATTAAGCAGTGGCAATGGGGTAGGAAATGGGAGGGCAGTGGATTCTAGGTATACGCCATTGTTGTTAGTCCCGTCAATCAATGTTTATAAAGTGAAGAAACAACATTTAATAATTTGTCACCCATGCTTTTATCATAAGATGAATCAGGAAGATTCTTTATTACAGAATTTACCTTGGGCTTCTATCCAAACAACAATGAAGAAAATAAAGGAGAGAAGATAGGTCAAGGCTCACTTTTATGGAATCTAGAACATCAGAACAAAAAAGTCAATTGCTTTTAAAAAACACACATGAGTTCCGAATGACTACACATCCCGAAACTAATCAAAAATAAAAATAAAAAAGAGGAGTATACAGCAGATAGACATTCTATTCATGCAACATCAACCCAGTTGCATAGAGCAACCCCATATTGCATGGATTTAAACTTCTAAAGTGATAGTTGGCACAGAAGTGTTGTTTATTGCTATATAGTAAGACAATTGAGATGCTCTGACCTAATAATGGTGGTTTTCCCAACTCCTGGAGGCCCAATGAGTAACAAAGAAGCTCCATCTTTGACCAAGTCTCTCAATAAATCAGCACTTCCAGTTATAGCCCTGCCTACACGGCAGGTCAGGCCAATAATTGCATTTTTCCTGTTCCTGACAGCACTGATCCGATGTAAAGTGCGGCTGATTCCTGCTCGATTGTCAACTGCAAAATCACCAACCTAAGACGAGGACACATTTCAGGTATTGAGTATTAACATGGTATGTCATACTAAAAGCGGCAGCATACAAATACAAAAATATCTATCTAACAGCCCTAAGTCCCTAACACCTAACTGTTATAGTCACCCATACAAAGAATAAAAATCAGTTCTCCAGCTAATCTTGCCAATGCAGCTGCATAAACCAGACATTTCAAATGCACCATAAATCTTTGGCCATACACAAGCAGTGAGAACTACTCTATTATTGAACTACCTCTTCATATTTTTGTCACCAACAGGCGGGAACTGACATTATTTATAATTGGTTACTTTGATCAAAAGGCTCGTACTGGGAAGAGGAAGAAATACAACGAAACAGATTGTATTCGACATAAAATTGCAAGTTAATTAATCAGTAAAATCAGTACTCCATAGGTTGTTGTAATACACAAATAATAAAGTAAAGACACTAGTTAAGGTGTGAAACAGTAACAAATAGTTTTAATCCCCAAATAAAAAAATAAATAAAAACGTAGTAATCCTTAAAAATCAGCTTTAATTCAATATTATAAGGTGAAGGCCTCTCCAGCTTAATACTGTACTATCAAAAGAGAAGATTCAACCCAAACCAAACCAGACAAATATTAACAATATCAAAAATGTATGAAATATAGATATTTAGAAAATTCAAATTGAGCCGAATCCAACAAAACACCACATAATAATGTTTTTCTTAACAATTAAGCAAAACTTACCTTAAATTATTTCCGGTAAAGAGAACAAAACTTAAACGAACCAAACAATGGATAAATTTCGGCAAATTTTTCTTAATCACCAGTTAACAAATTCACTGACGATACTCAGTTAAATTCAGTTATACACCCGCCATTACATATCCATAACAAAAATTTATCAAATATCATAGTGTTTGTATAATTGTATCAGGTTATTGTTACGTATGTCAATTCCAAAATTCATGATATAACATGAAAAAATCATAGCTTAAACAAATACACATTCCCAAAAGGCCAAAATATTTCCAGATTATACATTAATTTAAGGATAAGGAAAAAATCTAAAGAAATTCTCTATCATATACAATACCTGAGAAGTAGCAAACTCAAGGTCCTGAATTGTAATGGGACAATCCGACCACTCGAAATCGCCCGAAGGAAACCGGGCTATCGGGGTTCGACCCAAATCCATAACCACTTCCATCAACTTATCCAACTCCGGGTGCTGCCGTAATCGACACCGCATCTCCTCCGGTAGCAGCGACACCAATCGATCCAACTCCAATTGGGACTCGTCATCGGAACCCGGGAAACCCGAATTGTGTGGGTTTTGAGAACAAGAAACAATACCCAGAAAAGTTCTGGGGTATCCAAGAAGAATTTTGGGGTGAAATTGAGGGGTTGGGAGTTTGGGGAGGAAGAAGGAGGAGGAGAGAGAAAGGGGTGGTTTTGGCGGGAAAAGGAACATGGGTTTTAATGGCGGAAAAAGGGGATTTGTTGAGGATTTGAATAACAGAGTGTTGTTGCAAGAAGAGGGAGTTATGATGTTTATCTGATACACTGTGAAAATGGAAATTGAAGAGTTGTGGGAGAATTGATTTTCTGGAGTTTGTGCATTTCAAGTTTCTAGTGGCTTAGAAATACGTACACGGATGAACTAGACCAACTATTTACTGGCTCGAATCAACTACGGTGTACAAATTAGTGTAGTGGTAAAGATTGTACGATTTGTATGAAATGTTAGAAGTAGAGTTGTAAAAATTAAACTTGAAATTAAATTAAAAAATTAAAATCAATAATCTAGCATGACTTGAGTTAAAATAGATTCAACTCGACCCGACCTCATTGAATCCGACCCGGACAGCCGAATTGACATCCCTTACTAGTGGCAACTTTACCCTTTCAAGATTGCACCTACATTTAAAAGTCAAACTAGTGTGTGTCCCGGGCGATGCCCCGCCCAAATTGCTAGTTTTTACTTCTTTAACTTGATAATTATGTTCAAGTGTTGTATAGCTAGTGTGTGATTTGGGCGTTGTCCCGGACGTTACGGTTTTTTTTTTACTACATATGTATTTATTTTCTAATCTTGTGAAAAATAAATAAATTAAATAAACTCTAATTTAAAAGGAATATATAATGTTAAATATGCGAAATTTAAAACACAAATAAAAGTTGGTGGAGATGGTAAGTGCGTAGCACTTATTTGTGTGAGGTTGAGGGTTCGATTCTTAATAAAAATCATATTTTATTAATTTTGTTAAATGAAGTCGCAAGCTTACGTATTGCTGACGTGGCATTATGACATGTTGTCATATACGTTGAAGAGTGCAACGTGGCACCGTTCCTTTAAAAGGAACGCCTTTTAATATATAGTATAGATTTTAAAAACATTTGTTGAAAAAAAGTAAATAGAAAAATTTAAAAAAAAAAAAAAACTCAAAAAAATATAAACATAATTAAAGCCCTCTCCTTATTTAAATATAATATATAATAATTGTTAATCAAATCTACGATTTATTTAGTAGTGTGTACTTGTGTTGGGATTCTTGATTTCTTAGAAATTATATGCAAGTGTCGTTTCACTATATTTGATTAATTAATGAAATCCCTTTTTTCCTTGTGAAAAAAAATTATATAATAAATAATTAAATAAATTGATATTCAGTAAAAATAAATACTCTTTTCTCTTGAATTTAAAAAAAGAATACAATGTAATTACTAAAAATAAGTTCAGTTGACCAAAAATAATTTCAATTCAATTAAAAAAAAAAATTAATCAATAAAGTAAATGATTTTACTTAAGTTGAATTCAAGCCTGAAGTTTGTGAATTTCATCTCTTTTCCCCTCTTTCTCTCTCCTCTCTACCCTTTCCAGTTTGGGTTGTAGATAAATGAGACTCATTTCATCCAAACTTTTGGTCGATTTCTCCAATTGAAGCAACTTCTAAGGTTAGATATCTTTATTTTTAATCATAGAATATCAATTTCACAATCTAGGGTTTATCGTTAATTTTATTCAATTTAGGGTTTGGTTTGTATAATCATGCTTTAATCTCATTACAAAATCAAGATTGTCTGTGATATTATTGATTGCCTTTTAACGAGTGTTGTTATCTTTGGATTGAATTGATTATTGTTATTTAATTCCCTGTTTTACATAATTATTTCAAAATTTGATTTGATCTGTAATTTGTATACTCAGTAATTAAGGCCCTGGTGAAATTGCTCATTCAGTATTCAAAATTATTAATCTGCTTTTTTTGTAATTGCAATCAATAAATTTACTCCAAATCTCCAATTTAATACATTATTTACTTGCAAATGTGATTGATAATAATTCAGCTGAAGAACATATTATTACTTGTTTTTAATAAGAATCCGTAGCATTTGGAATTAGGAGACATTGGAGAAGTATGTTAATGTTAAAAACAGTTGAAATTCACCTAATGTTTTTACTTGTAGCAAGATGGATTCTGGGGAAAAAACTGCATTCTTCGGTTCTTCTTGATTATCTGTTTCAGGGCATCCTTTCAAGGCTGCCAGTGAGAGACTTATTGCGTATGCGATGTGTCAGTAAATCATGGTGTGCCCTCATTGACGATTCTAGCTTCATTTCGTTGCACCACCGTGCTCAATATGCCATGTGCAAAGAAAATGGAGATGTGCCTCTCCTTCTTATGATGCGCGCACCTATAAGTGTAAACCCAACTTTACCTCCAAGTTAACCAATGGTATCTTCTCTCTAAACAACAAGGGGGTGACATTGTTTTTAATTTGAATTATGATTTAGAACGTGATAAAAATTTTGTTTTCACAATTGATCCCTCCTATAGAAAAGATTATGTTATTTGTAGAGGCAGTGCAAATGGCGTCATCTGTCTTGAACTTTGGTGCATCGGTCAAGAATGGTTGAGGGTTAGTATTAGTTGTTGCTTATGGAATCCGGCCACAAGAGACTTTAAGATGATTGCATATTATGATGCACCAGATCTTGATCTTCAACATGGACGCAATTTTATGGTAGTTGGTTTTTTTTCATTCAATGTCTAATGATTTGAAGATTATGACTAAAACTTGTGTTGTGTCTTATGACAAAAGATTAGCATACGATATTTACTCTTTTAACACCAACTCTTGGAAAAGACTTGAGCCTCCATTGTTATTGGGTTGTCTTGGCGTTATTCAACATCCTGTTATGGATTCATGCATAAATGGTGTTTATTATTGGATTGCCCGTGTCATAGGAAGTCATTTGCACCCTCAGCTAGCTCAGCGTCACTTGTATTGGGTCCTATCATTTAATATGAGCATCGAGCTTTTTAAATTTTCTGATCTTCCTCAAGTGGATTGGGATTTTCTATCTGCCCCTAGTGACACAAATTATGATATTGGGTTGTACAAGGAATGTCTCGCAATATTTGTCACCCGCAGATTTCGTCCTGAGTTAGTGGGTAGTTTTTACATTTGGGTAGCCACTGAATTTGATGATGACTTTGGAGTCCCATTGGCATGGCAACGTTTGTTCTCTTCCAGACTATTTCCTACACTTTATGATATAAATGTTATTACTGCACGAATGAATGGTGATCTGCTGCTCCTCATCGATGGTGATCTGTGCCTATATAATCCCGCAACAGACAATATCTCGAGTTTTAGTATAAGCATCGAATGTTGTCACAGGTATGTAGTAAGTTTGGTCCCTTTATTGAGAAGGTTTGTCCGGAGTTGAGCTCATTTATCTTTGTATGTTGGTGGACCCTTAGAACAATTTGTGGTTTGGATTGTATTACTCAATAAAATTATGGCTTCTTTTTATAATAATTAGTAGTAATATTGGTTGTCTTTCAAAAAAAAGTAGTAATATTGTTTGTATTTCATTTTAACAAAATAGCATTTGGTCCTTCCTCCATACCTTCTTTTCATAATTCGATCACACTGCAAGGCTGAGGGACCGAGGTTGGATTGGGATCTTATAACACTATAAGGTATTGAATCCCCTAACATATTTTCCATTATCAGTGTATGCCATTAACCATTTTTTTTTAAACAACTGAATTTTTATTTATTTTAGACCAACCCAATTTTCACTTACATATCTATTATAAGGCTCTATTGACCTGGATTCAAAAATATCCAATAAATTATTTTCTCTACTTTTTTTTCGCTTACATAACCTTGTACAAATGATTTTGAAACAAAAAAAAAAATTGTAGCGCAACGAATATGAATGTCTTATAAATATGTGATACAACTAAAACATCATTAAAATTGGCATTAATGGACTCATATCAATGTTTCCCAAATAGTGATATGAGCTTAAATAGTTGGTGGTTAAGTAGAGATGCATTCTATATATTAGGATATCTTTTAATGTGGTAAACTTGCTATACATTTTTAATTATGCCAGAAATGATGCGCATAATTAATTTGATATTGTGATATTTTTAATTGTGTAATACGGTGTACATATACATTTTAGCTGGTAATATTGATAACTAGTAGAATTCAATATTCAAGTATCTAAAGCAGATGAAATATGTTCTTAGATCAGAGAAATTTTTTGATAGAGAAAAGAGAAGGATTTGATTGCTTAATCCAAAAGAGATTACAACCTACATACTTATTACATGATCTTGAGTTGCTGGGGTCATATGTAATACAAGTACATATACATTCTAGTAACATTCTATTCTATGTATATAAAACTGCCGAATTTTTGCAGCCTTGAGTTGCTGTTATAGGGCAGTTTATGAAGTTCTTCAGACTACTGTCCACACGTAATCGTACCTCCAAAAGGTATGTGGAGGCACGCTTCATGCATTGCAGTTGGTAAATGATGTTGCTGCCTACTGCTAACATGGATATACCCTTCTCATAATCTGTAATTGAATATGATTGGGTGGTAGAAGGATGCACACCTGGAAGGAAAAACAATTAGGCGTATGGAAAATTTTATGGTTGATAAATAAAAGAAGGGGTTGGCACTATTTCACCCGATTCAATACCTTAATACCAAGATTATATTGTTCAGAAGTTGAGAGCAACTATTGTTTGCAAGACTAATACATCTAGAAAAATAATCAGCAATTCCTAGACCTGAACAACTACCATGTTTTGTTCATTCATGGTCCCAGAATTTATCGTCAGTTTGAAACTTAAAACTTGACCAAAATGTGGTCAAGTCGTTGAGCATAGGCTGTTTAGAAAAAAGAATTGTGTAAGAAATAACTAACCAAACACCATTCACCAAAAGAAAAAAAAATTGACTAGAGAAGCAATACAACACAAAAGACAACATGTAATGGTTTGTTGTTATAAGGTGGTGAGCTGCAAGAGTGCATCTGTTTACCATTTGGGTCCATTGGCCAAACCCCATGGATCGTGAACTGAGTAGATGGGGGTACTTTAGTGCAAGTTCTAGCCTTGCATAGGCCCTTAGACCATTGCAAGGCTAGTATTGCAAAGGCAATGCTAGGGAGAGGAGGAAGGGTGAGGGGAGGAGGAAGAGTGGGGGGAGGAGGAGGGGGTGGGGCTTCTGCTACATGGGCGATGGTGATTATCAGAAATGTTAGGGAACATAAGGAATATACAATGGTGCTCATTTTGTTTTGAAAAGGTTATGATTCAGCTTAGAGAATACAATCAATGTGTGTTTTCAATTTATATAGAGCAAGTGATTTGAATAATGCTAAACATTATTAATATGAAAGCAGGTAACTTGTTTATTGAAGGTTAGGAAAGGCAGTTTCTTAGTGCGCTTTTAAGCTAATAACACCATTAGCTAAATAAAAAAAAAGAGTTCATGCAGAAATAGACCTTATGCTAAAATCAGCCAAACAATGCAATATGATAGTGCATCACAAAGCATTAAATGGGGAAATATTCTAAAGCAAAAATTGCCTAAATTGCATGAATGAAACTAAGTTGATGGACTTGCTATTTCCTTGTTGATTATGTCGTATATTGAAATTCAATGTTTAATGGAAAGAAAAGTCAAGGAAAGTGTTATCTAATGCACAAAACAAATGAAAAGAGTACACTTCCAAAAAGTTGGCCTAAATATAAGAAACACAAAGAAAACTGAATGCAACTCACGAACACGAATCGCCAAAACAAGCAGAGGCTCATCAAGACAAGTTTAATTCACAAGTAAGAAAACCAAAGACAAACCTGTAATGACCATAGTGCGGCACCTATAATCAATTCTCCGGCTAATCTTGCCAATGCAGCATCATTCACCAGACACTTCAAATGCACCATAAATCTTCGGCCATATACAAGCAAGGAGAACTACTCTATCATTGACCTATTTCTTCAAATATCTATCACCAGCAACTCACATCATTTATAATTGGTTGCTTTGATCAAAAGGCTCGTAATGGGAAGATGAAGAAATACAACGAAACATATTGTATTCAACATACAAATGCAAGTAAATTAATCAGTAAAATCAGTACTTGGTAGCTTGTAAAACAAAATAATTAAGTAAACACACTGGTGAAAGTGTGAAATAGTAAGAACTAGTTTAAATCTACAATAAAAACCGTGGTAATCCGTATAAATCAGTTTTAATTGAAAAAATCAGCTTCAATTCAGTAAAAATAAGGTGGAGAAAAATACTATCAAACCAGAAAGACTCAAACCAAACTAGGTGAATATTAACAACATAAAAAAGATAGATATTTTGAAAATTCAAATTGAGCCGAATCCAACAAGATGCCACGTAATAATTAAGCACAAACAAATTAAGCCAATCCAACCTTAAATTATTTCAAGTAAAGAGATAAAACCTAAATCAATTAAACAACAGATAAGTTAATTTTAACAATATCAGTTAACTTAACAATTTCAGTAAATTTTAGTTATACATTCGCCATTACAAATCCATAAAAATAATTATCAAATATCATAATGTTTGTATCATAGGTCAATTCCCTAATTCATGATATAACAAGGAAAAAATATTGCCAAAATGAAAAGTATTTTCCCATAATATTTCCAAGTTTTTGAAATAATTTAAGGATAAGGATAATATCTTCTTAAATCCTCTATCATATATAATACCTGAGAAGTAGCAAACTCAAGGTCCTGAAATGTAATGGGACAATCTGACAACTCAAAATCACCCGAAGGAAACCGGGCAATCGGGTTCCGACCCAAATCCATTACTACTTCCATCAACTTATCCAACTCCGGGTGTTGCCGTAATTGACACCGCATCTCCTCCGGCAGCAGCGACACCAATTGATCCAACTCCAATTGGGACTCGTCATCGGAACCGGCCAGGAAACCCAAATTATGTGGGTTTTGGAACAAGAAACAATACCCAGAAAATTTCTGGGGTATCCTAGAAGAATTCTAGGGTGAAATTGAGGGGTTGGGAGTTTGGGGAGGGGGAAGGAGGAGAGAGAGAGAAAAGGGTGGTTTTGGCGGGAAAAGGAACATGGGTTTTAATGGCGGAAGAATGTCTTCTTTTTATCACCCAAAAAAATAAAAAAATACGATAAGGATTTACTCAAGTTACTCGATTAGTGGTTACTTGAAGAGTTCGGTCAGAGGTTACTCAGGGTTACTTGAGGGGTTCGGTCATGGAATAACCCATGACCGAGTAATTTGAGTAACCCCGACCACAATGAAAAATCCCAAAAGCAATTTAGGTTATCTTCTGTTCAGTTTTAGACTTGTTGTTTTTTAACTAAAACGATTTTTACTAGCTAAAATGAATTTAATTGCACACTAAAATTAATTCAGCGCATTTTATGTGTGGCTGCCCAACCGATCGTGTAACCCCAGGCCGATTAAGTAACCCTTAACTGATCGAGTAACCCTTGATTGACCGATGCAAGTAACTCCTGATTAAGTAACCCTAGAATGACCAAGTAACTTCTGAATAGATAACCCCGGCTACACAATGTGGCGAACCACATACTTCTCCCTTTTTATTTAGCTGCAACACACTTTTTTGGCCTGCATTTTAAGGAAGATATTAGACTAGGTAAACGGATAAATTGATTAACAAAATTTTACCACCTATAAGAAGAAAGGGATAAGTTGCAATGGTTTAAACTTCATAGCTTAATTCATTTGTTTACATAGTTTAATCATTTTCTAGAAAAGCGTGATAAAAGGTATGTTGCAAATATATATATAAAAAAAACAGAGGAAGTATAAAACTTTGTGACCTCCATTTTATTATATTAAAATTATTTTTAACAAAATACTTTTTTAACGTAAAGAGAACATGACCTTAATAAAATTCAATTACAGAGTCTGGCGTGTAGTTTGGCGATCTAACAAGCCCCCTAAGCTGAATCACTGATATGTCCATTTTATATAGTGTTTTAACCCCCGACCACTGGTCGTTATTAGTAGTGTTTTTGGCTCTTTCGGGCCACTTTTATTACTAATTTGTGTTTTCTAGTGTTTTCGTAGTTTTAGTTGTATTTTACAGGAAATTGCACTCTTGGAGCATTTTCTCGGGCTTTATGGATCAACTACGGAAGCTAGAAGGACACGACCACTTTTGGAGCCCAGGATAGGTGAGATCCGGTGATTAAGGGCTCAGTAATTAGGATCCCGAGGTATTCGGACCGAGTGTTCAAGACCCGAAGAGGAAATTCGGATTGGGCCGAGAAATCAAGCCCAATCGAAGTCCGAGCCTCAAAGTGGAGCAAGGGCCCGATCGGGCGCGGCAAGGCAATGGTGTTGTACGTGCATAAGCGCGCCTGATCGTGCGAGCGTCTAGCACGATCGGGTGATGCTGCGGAGAAGGAACGCGAAGAAAAAGGCGGGCCCAATCGGGCGGCCCTTCGCCCGGTCGGGCGCATGTTTCT